GATAATAATAATTATAATAATAATAATAATAATAATAATAATAATAATAATAATAATAATAATAACAATAATAATAATAATAATGGCATTTCGGCCAGTATATCCACAGGGTGGCTCTTCGCCTGCCCGATGCTAACTAAATCAGATCGTACAGAGGTTCCACTCTATCATTATAAGATTTGTGGGCTTAATTAAACACTTGCCCTCAAAATTCTTTTTAAAGGATTACACGAGTAATCCATGGTGTATGCTCTTGCAAGCCCTTTTCCTTGGTCGCTGCCTAATTCCTAGCTAGGCCTCGATGTTTCGCCTCGGTCAATCGTTTTCAGGTCACTTGGTCCGAGGCGAGGTCTGGGCCGTTCGTCTCGGATACGTCACCGAAATCAATTGACCGTGAAGGCCAAGGAGAAAGTCGTACAGGAACTAGGCAAGGCACGTCGAGCCAATCTTGTACTTTGAGTCTTCGCTCCTTACTGCGCAAGCTTAACGAGATTATCGACTTTCCCCCGACTTTCGGTAATGCAAAATACTTCCAATCCGAAACCCCCGACCATTGGTCAGGAGGATTGAGGACTCTGGGTAAGAGAAGAAGGAGGGAAAAAAATCCTTTTTTGCTGCAGACTATAAGGAAAAAGAATCTCCACTCGTAATCGGGCTCAGAGGAACTTTGACGGAGTTATAAAACGAACGAAAAAATCTAGAGGGTTGGTTGAGGTTTACTAATAAAAAAGAGTAATTATTTGACCAGTGATCGTCAGTGGCCCAGAGTCTTCCTGGCTCGGGCAGCGGTTGGGTTGAGCTCGAGATTGCCGACAGTGCATGTTAGCCTATTGTTAACAAACAATAAAAGACCTGAAATGTCAGAGAAAAGCGAAGCAACAGCATTGGTTAAATGACGGTAATTTGATATGAACAATGTAGCCCCCTATGCTATTCGGCAGGTCACACACGGAATAAAACTGGTTGTATCTTAGTCAAAGATCCGGGGTGAATTCCACAATATATTCGCACCGATTACAATTACTAGCCAGGCGTTTTTTCACCGCCCGTCAGCGAAACGGTAAGCAGTTGTTACCTGACGTATTTCTTTAACAGCTTCTGTACGTAAACAAAACAAGCCAGTGGCTCAATTGTTACATTTGTACTTTCAAGGTAATATAATTTTCAATTGTTTAGCCCTTGGAGAACAAAGGAAAACAAATGAAGACACTTTCTTGTAAACTGTTGACAATGTTGACCATTTTACGAAGTCACACTTTCAATCTAGAAAATATTTTGCAAAATATATCTTTATTCGTCGGCTTTTGATACGTTGGAGTCTTTTGAATTTTGGGAAAATTTGATGACTCTGGTTTCACTTCTCTAGGGTTCAAAACAAGTACTGATAACCACCTACAACATTTCCATACGAATGTTCATGTTCATGCAAATGAAACTCACTCTCATAAGAACGGTTTTGCAGCAGGAAACGGTTAGAAACGAACAGAAAATGGTTTATTATTCGTTTGGATTTAGCCAGAGGCTTTTGGGCAGGTGGAGGACACGTAAGCAACGACAATAAAGTGCTTATAGCAATGCTTCACCTTTTGTTCTAGAGGTTCGAAATGACAGCATCCAGTTTCAAGGCCTTTACTGCTCTTGTGTTCCTTACTGGGGCCTGGATCTCTGCGAGTGCCAGCGAAGTAGTTTTTCAAGGTAAGTAGCATACCAAACCTCGTTTTTAGGGGCCTCCAGGATGGGAAATACTTGTTGATTAAAAACCTGATTTTACCACGAAATATCAACCGATTTTTTTTTTTGTGGCCTTGGAATGTCACTCAGAAAGGTGAGGAGAAGTAAGGGGAAGAAAGCTTAACGATTGCAAGGTCTTCTATTGTACAGTGTAGTAAAAGGTCTTAGCCTTGAAAGCAAATCATTTCTATACGTTTATAGAACTTCTGTGTTTTCAGCAGTGGACAAAAACAAAACATACTGAAACGATATTAATTAAGTTAATTTTCTCTCCTGGCAATTTCAATAGGAAGCGATGATGAGGCATTCAAAACATTCCTTAACAATGCGTACAGTAACATACAAGTAAACGTCCAGAAGAAGGTCAGCGTGAAGTTAAAGCTGTATGACGAGCTGGCTAAGATCTTGGCGAAAGTGGCCTTTAACGATCCTTGCTACACTTTTAGAGTCGAGTTCAAGGGTTCCAGCTACGAAGGCCTGAAGATCGGCAAACCAGACGAGTTCGATTACGGATTGGTGAACGACAACTGGAAGGGTAAAATCTCCGTCTTGGTCGATGCAACCACACCCGTCGGGTTTGGTTACGCGGTTCAAAACATCGCAACCTGTCTGGACAAATTCAAGGTACCAGGCACCAAACGCGTCGACGCTAGCAAGGTCAGAGGTCATCTGCGCAATCTGGTGGAGGAGGCGATGCTCCAGTTGGGGATGAAGGGCAGGTTCGTGAAGAGACCTTGGGAAGGAGGGCCCGCAGTCACGTTCGAATTCGTTTCCGGCGATCCAGAGTTCCTCTACATAAGCATTGACTTGGCGATCGGGATCGATCTGCCGCACTGGCCTCCGGGAGCACGACCACGCCCTGCAGGTGTCGAGAGCGCCAAAGCACAGCTTGTACCGAAAGTCAAGGACGAGAACTCCGCATTTTGGCAAATTTCCTTTGCTCAAGTCGAGAAGGCCATCATGGAGAATATCGACAGCGACGGCGGTTGTCGGAAAAAGGTCCTCCAACTGGCCAAGTACTTCAAGGGGAAATCTGTGGGAAGATGGCATCCACTGGCCTCGTACCACCTAAAGACCATCCTGCTCCATATGAATGATGAAAAGAGGCATTCTAAAGACTGGGCACAAGGAATGCTCGTACCACGCTTCAAAGAGTTGATAGACAGGCTTTTGAAGCGCCTACGAACTGGGATTCTCTACAGCTTCTTCATGCCAACACAAAACCTGTTCGAAGGGAAGCAGGCAGAGTTGCCAGGGGCTATAGTAAGTGTGAACGACTTCTTGAAGACCCTTCGGGGCAATCCACAAGCTTTGCTACAATAGAGATTTCAACTGTTATGTTTAGGAGACAAAATAAAACCACAGAGAACAATCTGAAGGCTTTTTGCTTGTGGTAGTACTTTTTCTAGATTGTTACATCTGAGCGATTTCCCTCATTTGCTTCAACATCGGAGATTGAAATACGTATTGTCAAGTA